ATATATATATATATATATATATATATATATATATATCAAATAGAGAAAAAAGTTGTTCAAACTGTACATGATGGTTAGTTTTATGTGCCAATTTATATATGTAGGTTATATAAGATATATACATATACGTATATATGTACACACACACATATACATCGTGCTGGTTCCATTCTTCTTACAGACCCTGACTAGTATACTCTACTTGCCACTTTTCTATAAATTTGTGATTTCTTTGAAATCTAAATAAATTTAATTTTAAATATACCGTTTTCTGGTTAGTTCTAACAAAAACACCATGAAAGTCACAGGCTTTGCTAAGCTAGTTAAATGCTAATTAAACAGTTTTTAAATCATTTGTCCGTATGCTACTTAAAATCACCTTGCACACCCCAGGGATTAATCTAAGCCATTTGGGAAACGGCAGCCCAACCCAAGTAATTTATTGCCTTACCACATAAAAGGTGTTCAGTGGAGGTCAGCTGAACTGAACAGTCTCCACTCTTACCTGTTCACCACTCATTTAGTCTGACCTCTGAAGCGTCTATCAAAGTAAATGATCTCTGAGGACCTCTCCCAGGAGTCACAGTACCCTGGGCAAGTCTGCTGGCCTGTCCCGAGTGACAGGCTGTGTTTGCAGGATACCACTTCTCCTTAACCTCTGCTCTGACATTTCCTTTCAGTCTCCCCCATACTGGCTTCTCTCTTCTCATGCCCTTAAATTCCAAATCCTAACCATGATTCCATCAAGGACCCCACTTTTCTTTCATAATCACCCTCTGAAAGAATGGATGGATGCTTCCCATTAACTTCTGTATGTGTATGACTTTAGAGAGCCCAGCCCACACCTCATGTGGTCATTTCAGGTCATTTGCCTGTGGAAGTCACATATATTTCAACAATTCTATTCCTTTCCTGCAGTGTGGTAATTCGTACATGCACATTTTCTGTCTAAAACATAAGTACTGCAAGGTCGAGCTACATCTAATGCCTCTACCCAAAGACCTACACACATGCCAAACAAAACAAATGCTCACTAAGGGTGTACTGATGATAGATAGCTCTTACTTATCTTTTTTTTTTTTTTTTTGTACCGGGGATCGAAATCGGGTCCTTGCGCTTGCGAGGCAGGCGGCGGAACCACTGAGCTAAATCCCTGGCCCCCAGATAGCTCTTACTTAGTTGCAGAAGGCTGAGTAACTTCCATTCCTGTCTTCCAGGTTATTTGCAACATCCTGTCATTTTTTCCTTTCTATAATACTGCTCGCATTTTATTCCAAAACACAGGGGCCACATCATTCCTGGATGATTCTTCCTACCCTCCGCTCCTTCTCTGACTGGAGGCCACATAAAGTCACTGAAGTCCTTGGGACCAGACTGATCCCAGCCTCCTCCTTGCAAAAGCCTAAATGATCTCCAACCATCCAACAAAGTAAACTGCCATACAAAAATGCTACTGGGGAAAGGTGTCCATTAGGGTTTAGTTCTTAAATGTTCCTCCCAAAACTCATGTGTTTGAAGGCTTGATGTCAAGTTAGGAGGTGGTGGAAACTTTAGGAGGAAATGAGTCACTGGAAGGAGTGGCCTTGAAGGGTATATTGGGCCCCTGGCCCTTCTCTCTCCCTCTCCCTCTGCACTCCCCTCCTTCCTGGCTGCTATGAGGTAAGCAGCTCTGCACTAGCACATACTCACTCCATGATGCTTTGTCTCATCACTACAGCACAGAAATAATGGAGCAAAGTGATCATGGACTGAAATTTTTGAAACCAGGAGTAAAGAAATCTTTTCCCCTTCAAGTTGATTTTCTCAGGTATTTTGTCACAGCAACGAAAAGCTAACAAAGGGAGTTATTGTGTAATGGGTACAGAATTTGAGATAATTTAAAAATTCCAGAAATAGCTGTACAACATTGTTAATACCACTGAACTGTACAATAAGAATGGTTAAAATAATAAATTTTGTTATGTATATTTCACCATAATGAAAAAATGGGTTCTTGCAATTTTCTCCCATTTGCCCTCTTCCTACCCAAATATCCTCATTTTACCCCATTTCTCAGTCTATTTGTTCTAAAACACACACACACACACACACACACACACACACACACACACACACACACACCGCTCCACAGCATCTTGGTACCCAAATTCCAGAATGTCACCTACAGCCACACTTCTGCCTAGCATGTCCTCATCACTTCTGTGCCCAGAACCTACATTCCGTCATCAGTGAGGACGTCTCTGTTTTTGGCTCATCCATAACATCTCCCCTCACATTATCATTAATGAATTTGCTAATTGTTTTCCCCTCTGTGATGCTTTAGCTGGTGAGCACCTGCTTTATACATTTGCATTTTCCTCCTATTTTCCAAGGTTGTTATTAAACCCTGAAAGTAACAGCCATGCAACTTTAATTCCTTTTGCAGACATCCCACAGAGCTGGTTACATTATTAGTCACATGATGCATACTGGAATGTCTGTAACTAATAAATTACTCTCTGAACTCCAAGGCTGATGGCTGTCTCTAAAACACAGCAAATGAATCAATATGTCTAGAACAAAGCCTTTCTCAAGAGAATGAAAAGTACCACAATTGAAAAGATAACTTCTTAACCTGTTCTCAAGCAACTGCCTAGCTATGTAACAATTTTATTTAACGTCTTCAAAGGCCTATTTTAAAATCCAATATGCATGTCTACAATATAAGTATCTAAAGCCTACACAAAAGCAAATGCTATCTGATTTATTCTATAATATGCATATCCCTGAATCTCCAGCTAATGGCCATGAAAGAAAGATCATCTTAAGTCCTTTAGTTAAAAGGCCAACTTGGTTCTGAAATAAAACATAACTATAGAATCATGATTGAACAAATCAGTGGAAATTTATGAGCCTTCAAAATTAACCAACATCAGTTCAAGAAGAGATAAGAACACAAGACAGCTTCTTGCCCATATGACCATATGTCAAAAGAAAACTTGCTGGATCCTCGATGCCAATTCGGCAGCTTAATATCTCTGCAATAAATATTACAGTACAGAGAGGGGATGAGCCTGAAGTCCTACCTGTTCCTGGGCCAACAAGGCCTTCTTCTTCATGATTTTCATGGCATAGATGTCCCCGGTTGCTCTCTCTCTTACCACCTGTACTTCAGCAAAGTGACCACAACCTACAAGACTTTTGACTTCAAAGTCCTTTGCCGAAGGCTGGAGCTCCTGTAACTCAGCAATGATGTCGGAATCTGTGGAGATAAAGAGTTACACCCAGATGAATAAAGCCCTTCAAATATGTGCATCTTTATGAGAAGGGGGAAAAAAAAGAATTTTAAAAAAGTGTTCTTATGTCTTCCTTCACTGTCAGAAGACATTTAGTCACTTTCTAATCCATCATGAATAATTATAAAATCAGCACAAAAGTGTTTTTATATGTTAAGTTAAAATTAAGGGCTCCAGAAATTCCAAAGTACGGTTTCCATGGTAGCTACAATTTGATTCTTGCAGACTTAGAAAATAGAGAGGGAGGATACAAATCATGCTTTTCTTCTTCCTCTGAAAGCTGTGGAGCAGTGGCCGGTCAAACATGCTTATCACCAGTTAGACTTGGCTTATGATGTGACATGAGCAACATGATTCCTGTTTTAGTCAACTTTGATCATTCTATTCTAACTAAATGTACTCTGCTTAATTTTATCCCACTAGCCCATTTTATCTCCTTTGCATTGTGTCAGGCATAGTAATGCCTTCCTTACCTTATGTTATAATTTGGATCTGAAATGCCCCCCCGAAAAACGCTCATGTGTTTAAGGCTTGGTCCATGAAGCATTAGCATTCAGAAGTGGGGGCTTTGGGGTGATTAGGTCATAAGGGCCCTATACTCATCAATGGAGCCATCCATTTATGGACTCATAGCTTAATGGGTTTTTGGAGAGGGGCTTTGCTATAAAAAGGAGTTTCCTCCCTGCTGTCTGGCTTGTGAGATGGAAAGCTTTGGTGTGCCACTCCCTCCCTGACACAATGTTCTGCTTCCCCAGAGGCCAAAAATGATGGACCCAGATGATCATGGACTACAACCTCTGACACCTTGAGCCAAAATAAATCTTTTCTCCTTTAAGATGATTTTCTCAGATAATTTTGTCACACCTTAACATGTACCCGTGCTTAAAAAGGGGAAAAGTTTTAGCCCAAAGGACCAAATGGAACACTGACATTTGCTCTGCAGGGTTGGCATGCCACAGATCTGGAGGGGTTTGCAACTATCTTTTGCATACCATGGTCTTATTCCTTTTCTACATCCAGTCTCTCAGGCAGAGATCATCAATGTGCAAGTATGGACTGAACAGCTGGCAGGTTTGGAATCTTACATTATGTTTATTACCATTCTAAATACATTGAGACATTACCAGACATCCAGGGACCCTCCTGACTTGCAAGAATATGGGGGAACAGAGTGACTGACCTAAAAATTGAATCCTGAATACTATAGGGGGAACTGCATTACATACGGAGATTGTGTGCCAGATGAAGGCATAGATATCTATAATCAAAATTACCCTGAGCTGGGGGTGTAGCTTAGTGGTACCCTCGTTATGCACAAGGCCCTGGTTCCATTCCCAACACCACAAAAAAAAAAAAAAAAAAATTCTGGAGAATCCCACAGGAAGGTATCATGTTGAAGACCAAGAAGCTGTCTTGAAATACCCCACAGACACTAGAATCCACCAGGCAATGAAAGAGATGGCCATTTTGAAGTGGCTAGGAACCAGATAAAGTTAGGAACAGTCAGGATGTGAGGGGGATCCGGCTGCAACATCTGCCACCCAATTGATCACCAGGGTTGATTTGGCTGATCTCACTATTTGGCTCCCTCACTGCTCCATGTGGGTCCCTCCCAAAGCCGCGTGCTAGGTCAAAGAGGAGGACCATCCCCAATAGAGGAGGACTGTTTCCTTAGTCAAGGGTATACAAGTAGCTGTGATCCCCTGCTAGAACCTCCAAACAAGCTCTCAAAGTTAGGAACAGCCAGTCTTCCACATCCACAGATTTTACATCCATAGATTCAACCAACCATACATTGAAAATAGTGGGGGGAAAATCCAGAAAGTTTCAAAAAGTAAAACTTGAATTTGCCATGCACCAAGGACTACATTGAATCCACACAAATGAAGTAATGTGTAGGCCTTCTATTAGATAGCATAAGTAATATAGAGATGATTTACAGTATATATGAGGGGGGCTGGAAATGTAGCTCAGTGGCGCCACATCTGCCTGGCAAGCGCAAGGTCCTGAGTTTGATCCCTGGTATCAAAAAACAAAATTAAAAATAAATAAATAAAATATATGTGAGGATATGCACAGATGACATGTAAATAATACACAATTTTATAAAGGAATCTGAGTATCTGCTGGGTCCTGGAACCAATTCCTCATGGATACCACATTCAGCTCCACAAACAAGTTGTTCACACAATGAGAGGAACAACAAGGTGAAAGACCATTTCATATCAGTCATCCAGTGGCATTTTGATAAAGTAGCCAATGCAACTGTAACTGTTATTACCCATCCTCTTTCTTTGTTGCAAGAGTAGAGCTGAATGATCTTGGATCAAAGGCACCCATGATGAACTGCACCACATTGAAAGTCTTCCTACCCCGAGCCCACACTCTCACTTAAGACACCCTCCACTGGTCTCTCAGGGAACCAGGCAAGAGTGGTTGGTAAATCTGTATGAGTTAATTGTTACCACTGTAAAAAAAATAAATTCTTCCTTAGGAAAACACCAAGCCAGTGCAGTGGAAGAGCCTGGAGGCTCCAGAGGCCCAGGCATGGGTGGCATCTTCAGCTCAGCAGTAGCCCTCAAGGGCGCAGGTGTGCCAGGGACTAAGCTGAGGCAGTGGGACTCCCAGCAGTAAGGCCGAGGACAAGAAATGGATTCCAGTCACCAAGCTGGGCTGGCTTGTCAAGGACATGAAGATCAAGTCCCTAGAGGAAATTTACCTCTTCTCCCTGCCTATCAAGGAGTCTGAGATTATTGACTTTTTCCTGGGCACAGCCCTCCAGGATGAAGTTCTAAAGATCATGCCCATGCAGAAGCAAACTCATGCTGGCCAGCAGGTTCATGGCATTTGTCGCCATTGGGGACAATCACGTTGGTCTGGATATAAAGTCCTCCAAGGAGGTCGCCACTGCCATTTGCAGGGCCATAATCCTGGCCAAGCTGTCCATTATCCCTGTGTGGAGAGGCCACTGGGGAACAAGATCGGCAAGACCCACTGTCCCTTGCAAGGTGATAGGCCACTGTGGCTCTGTGGTGGCGCATCTGATCCCTGTCCCCAGAGGCACTGACATCGTCCCAGCCTCTGTACCCAAGAAGCTGATGATGATGGCTGGGATTGAAGACTGCTGCACCTCTGCCAAGGGCTGCCCTGCCACTCTGGGCAACTTCACCAAGGCCACCTTTGATGCCATCTCTAAGACCTACAGCTACCTGATTCCCAACCTCTGGAAAGAGACTGTGTTCACCAAGTCTCCCTACTAGAGAGTCACTGACCATCTTGTAAAAACCCACACCAGTCTCTGTCCAGAGGACTCAAGCTCCAGCAATAGCTATGACATAGGCTTTTTCCACAAGAAAAAGTGAGTGAAATCTGTAAAACAATAAAATAAATAATTTTTTTTTAAATCTAGAGCACCTATATAGAGAATACAATGTAGAAGCAAAAGCTGCAAAATATTTTCCTTTTACCCTGAAGATGCTGTGCCAAGCTGTCTTCCTTCCCTGTCCCTTTCCAAGTTTCTTTTCTATAAAGTATTTGAGACTGAATTATAATTCAACAAATGCGCTGGCTTGCAACTTCCTGTGTTGAATCCACTTTCATCACTCTTGTACACAAGGCCAATCTCCCTTAATTTCCCATCAGGCCTTGGGCCCCAAAGTTGCTTACAGCATTGTCCATCTTAATAACTCTGGGCCTGTCACTAGAGACTACCAGGCATCTCAATCACACAAGCAGATAAACTGCTCTGTTGCCAAAACCACTATGATACTCTCTCAAAATTTTAAGAAACCATTGCAAATCCCCACCTTTTTATCCAAAAGCTTTCGGATTATTGAGGTGAACAGGTGAGATACTAAAATCAAGCCTATAACTATTTTTTAAAAAGAAACAAGAGTATTCATGACTTTACTCCACACCAGCTGCTTCTGTGACCCCAAAATCATCTCAACCTTTCATCCCTATGTACCTTTATTTATAGTATTTATGGGCCCAGTGGGTACTGACTAGTGAGGAGAGGATAAAGACTCAAAATACTGCAATAAAAATACAAATTATGGCTTTGTCAGATAAACGATTGGATGGGGGTGGGACATGGTTGAATCTATTGCTCCTTTTTTGAAACTCAGTAACCCAACATTTAAACTTCTAGGAATCCATCCTTCATAAAAATCCTCACACATGTGCTCAGCAAAGATACATACGAAAATGCTCAGCAGGCCACAGTTGTGCAAACCTGTAATCCCAGCACTCTGGGAGCTGAGGCAGGAAGATCAAAAGTTAAACACACCCTGGGTAACTCAGCAACTTAAGTGAGAAGCTGTCCCAAAATAAAAAATAATTTTTAAAAGGGCTAGGGATGTAGCTCAGTGCAAAGGCCCTGGGTTCAATCCCCAGTACCAGATACATATACATACACACATACACACACACACACACACACACACACACACACACACACACACACTGAGTTCATAATGACAACAGTTATCACAAAAATAATCAGAAGCAACCTAATGGTTCATCAGTAGTAAAGTGGAAATAATCTAAAGTCCCCCCATATAAAGGAATATTCAGCACATGTTGAAAAGAAAACGCTTAATCTACATCACAAATGTACATATCCATAAACAGAGACTTTTGTCTGTCTTTATCAATGCTTGTAATCCAGTACCTAAAAAAGAACCTAGGTTTGGTAAATATATTGCTAAGAGAACCACACTATTGGCAAATGTCATACACGTCTGATCTATTTCATAAAAATTAAACAGAAGTACTGCTGAACATGCATGAAATAGGGCTGACAAATGCTGGAGCCAGTTAACTGGTATATAGATTCATTATACTATTCCCTTTGCCTTTGAGTGTGCTTGAAAAACCCAGATTGCACTGGAAATAATACAAAGAATCAACAATTAGAATCTCATCCTATTAAAAAGCTTTTGCACAGCAAAAGAAACCACCAACA